GTAGCAGCTGAAAATCAGCGATTTGCTCGCGTATGCGCGTGAATAATTGACGCTGAGCTGGGACCATTTTTTACTGCTGTGACGCACACACACATTTTGTTTTCGAATGTTCATTTGTCTAACCTTACATACTTATTAATTATTTTTCAGTTGAATGAAATGTAATGTGTGTGTGTATTGTGGCAAAAAATAAATCGTTTATCTATCTATCTATCTATCTATCTTTGAAAGGGATTGTGCAAGATTAAAATAATAGACAATTCGCCTACAGTGGATATCACTACAAAGTATAAAACAAAGTCACTTTCTCTGTCCCTATATCCCTATGTATGTTTAAATCTTTAAAACTACGCAACGGATTTTGATGCGGTTCATAGATAGGGTGATTGAAAAGGAAGGTTTTATATATTATACAAGCACACGCGGGCGAAGCCGCTGGCAGAAAGCTAGAATGAAGATATAATGAGTCTCGACAATACTCGTATTGTCAGTAGGAGTAGGTTGCGTATTATTGCCTTGTATACTCTAGACTCTAGACGGATCTACTGTGAGATTTCAAACTACCATTAAAACAATAAAAATATGTATAATTATGGTTAAGGAATATAATCTTCTATGAAAGTATTCTGTGGTACGCTAAGACTCGAGCATAAAAATATATGATCACGTAATTATTAGTACAACAGTGGTACTTATGTAGTACTTACAATGTACTAAAACACATATGTACTCTATTTTAATGGAAACATGTTTCTGACAGAGAATTTGATATTGTTAAAACTAAGTATCAGTTCCCACCTCTGATAAAGATAATGTGTTTCGTAACTTTACTTGGTGACTCTTAACCGGTATTTTTTTAACGTTTTCCTTCATTTAATAAAGTTGACAAAGCTTTACTTAAAAACATCATACTACTTTTAAGATATCTTTTTCTTTCGTCATCAAAGGCTAAGATATTTTCTTACTGGAATCTAAGATAAATATATAAAAAATATCAGTAACCTGTATTATCGTTATTGTTGACAGAGACAGCGTTCAGTTTCTCGCGTGCTGAAATCAGTTTCGTGAAACTTGTTTTATCATGCATGACGCTAATTCCGTAATATATTTTCCGCTCACTTTGTAATAGGAAAAAGCAGTGTTGCCAACTCGGTGACAAGTTCTAGGGCTAAATAATGATTACAAATTTTAATAAAATAAAACAAAATGCCCGCTTGCGTGAAAAACAACTAGCTGAAAAGGCTAGTATAAGATAAAAAAATATGTAACATCATACATAATATGCAGTCGGAAGCATGAAATTGAATAATAAGTCAATTCATTCCCTCTTTGTGTTAATCTATGTCAGTGTTGCCCGCAATATTGTGTTTGGCTTTAAAAGTTTTTGTATTTGTAGAATAAAAAGCAGACTCAACAATATTTTTGTCTATTTGTTTTACAGAATTTTCAGTCTAGCGAACTTTTATTACTGTTACTTGTGTGAACTATGACTCGTTTGCTGAATACATCTGGGGCCCGAACGTTCTGCGACCTATCACATGAGCTAGCTGTACGATTAGTATTTAATACAGACTGCAGTGGGGAACAACACTTCGACATACATTGCGGGTATTTCATGTCATTCCTAAACTTGTCTTAGGTCTTACAATTTAGGCTAAGACAACTCGACATCTTTGTTTAATATAACAGAGAATATTAGAATAGAGAATGGAATGTAAGCCGGCTATCCCTTTGTATTATGTTGTGTTGTAAATCTCTCTTTCTTTTAATAAGTAGAACCTAACTTAGGTTTAAGAAAAGCAAAATTATTGTACGTATAAAACAGTTTGACAGTGGGCACATTCACGCAAGGGTTTATTACCAATGGTGTATTATAGTTCTTTCTTTCTTTCTTTGAAAAAGCCCGGCCGGAGGAGAATAAAATTTGACTAAGATATTTTAACAAAATAAACAAGAATATATATGAAGTAAGAACTGTTAATAGTTGGAATACTATTATTATTAGTTATTAACTGTTCTTACTTCATCTCGTCTATGAGTTAAACGTATTTGCTTCAGATATTTAGTTATGTATAGTTAAAGGTAGGTATTATAAAATATAAAATTAACTGCTCACTAAAAGGAATAAAATAAAAATACGTAATATAAAAATTAAAAAACAAGACTATTAAAATCGAACTAAAAATTAAAGAAACACGTTGTGTTGGACAAAATTCTGTCGATAAACTCACCTGAATACTTATAAAGAATTTTTGAATTTGAATTCTCATTGCATTCAGGGGACCTCTTAGATTTCAAATAATCCACGGAAGGATCCTCCGACTGCGATGATAATTATGTTTATACAAGCCATAATACAATTTGTTTCTTTCATTATAAGTTCGCTTTTAGCAATCGTGCTAGATTTTTATGTCCTATTCTATTAAGAAAAAAAAAAATACAAAATTTTGATACTAAAAATTGTCAGTGTCCAAAATATTCAATTTTGTTCACTGGCAATTTTCTTCTATATTCAATGTTCCAGTAATATTTGTACTTATAACATTTTCGAATATTGCGTTGAGTAAAGTAGGAGGGCAAATAGCCCCCTGTTTACCATGCTTGCGGCCGACTTTATTAACAAACTTTCCTACGAATTTTCTTTGGAATAAGGGTTGTCAATATCTGGCACAGGCGTAACAAAAAGCAGGATGCTTATTATGCTTTTGGGTGCCCAACCGGTTTTCTAAAGCTTGATAAGTATCAAGTTCAAGTAAATAATATGTTGAATTAATAAGGGTATACATCGCTCAGTACCCAGTGCAGAGGTTAGATGCTGGAACACCAGATGGCTGCGCGCGTTGAAGTATGTAGAATGGACCATACATTACAAGAGTTTCAAAGTAGTTAAAAATGGAGGCTTATGTGGAATAATGGAACACGCGGCTCGGCGCATCTTAGAACATATATAGCTTTCCAACTGCGGCTTCGCCCGCGTGGAATTCGGTTATTATGGCACTTCGTATTTACATCCTATACTTTAAGCCTATTTATTGCAATAAAACTTTTCTAAGTCCTTCCTCCAGATCCAATCTGTCTGAGTGTCTTAATTAAAATTGACAAAAACGGATATAGTAACTTTCGAATTTATATCAGTATAAATTTATTATTTTTTAACCATCGCAAAATGCGCACATTTTTTTCTAAACAAGCTCAAAATAAGCTCCAGTACACTCGCGAGACATAGTATGGTGCTCACGGTTAGCTGTGAGATGGTTTTCTCGTCGAGTAAATGTCTCAGACTATAATAGCCTGAAGCTCGAAGTCGATTGCGAAACGTTCTTTTCGCCTAGTAAACATCTCAAATTCGCAAGACGTACCATAACGCTTATAGCTGACTGTGAGGCGTTCTTCTCATCGAATAAATGTCTCAGACTAGTGAGATATAGCAAGACTTTGGCAGTCGGCTGTGAGACTTCCCTTTCTCAGAGTAAATGTCACTGACACGCGAGACATATCACTGCCGCAGCAGATTTTCTAAAAGTGCGATTTTTATACATCTTCATCACTTTGAATAACTTTTCCAAGACGTTATATTCGTATATCTTAAGGTTTGGTTGGACTGTTAAACTTGCTCAGCAGTTGTTCCAGACCTTCGATTTTTAGACGTGAGTGAAAACGCTACCACTTTGAACAACTTTTGATAAGACGTTGTATTCGTATCTCATACAGTGCTATTAATAAACAAGGTTTAGCTTCAGAGTAAGTTTACGCTAAAATTTCAATTCTAGTATTAGTCCAAATTCATATTATACAGAGAATAAGCAAACTTACTATATCCTAGGAGTAAATATTAATCCCGTAGAACTTCGTACTAGGTTAACATTTGCCAAGTCTCTGTTTAATAATATGATTTTCAACTAATACTAAGTGTAGTCTCAGCGTAAGTTTACTCTAATGCTAAACCTTGTTTATTAATAACACTGTTAAGGTTTACTTTATCTGCTGGGGTTCTACAGCGGTTGTCCAGATCTTCGATTTTTATACGTCAACAGAAAATGTTCATCACGTTGATAACTTTTCCTAAGGCGTTTTTTTATATCTCTTATGGTTTAGCTGAGCTGCTAGGGTTTTACATCAAATATTTTGATCTTCAAAATTATTTATAGTCTATACGTTGCCAAGCTATACAACAAAAAAAAATCATCAAAATCGTCCAGTAGTTTTTGAGTAAAAGATGCACAACAGACAGACAGACAGACACAAAATTTTCAAGCCATATTTTTGACTTCCGTAACTTGTATCAAGATCCATTTAAATACTTTTTTTTATCTAAATTCAATGTACGTTCGTATGTTAATACCCTCTACACTTTTATTATATGTATATATAAGTCAGCTCCGAGAAATATACATACGGAGAATTCAAGCTTTAAAAAAGTCTTGCACATTTTATCATAATTTCTTAGACTGTATACTATAAGTATAATCATATCATTAAAGCCTCGATTGATTGTTTGCATTTAATAGGATCCGAAACTACAAAACTGATTTTTAAAATTTGCAGTCGAGACGTGTTAACCACTGTAGTAATAACTGGGTAATAAATAAAATTATCATTATATTAAATATGGTAGGCAGCCCTATTTCACGTGATTCACTGAGCAATGAGTTTATTTCTTTTGTCGGTAAATCTGCTACGGTCTACCGCAGTTATAACCTCAAAACTTTTGTTTTTGAAGTCGTATTGGTAGCAAATGCAGATGTTAATAATCTTTATGTGCAAACGGCATTTCTTCTTTATTCCTGATAAAACAACTACAATAATAATTTTCTACAAGTACTTACGGTCGTCTAGATTTTGAAAGTACTTGTAGGTAATACAGTCAACAGTACATCACGCGTAGCTTCAAAAGCTTGGCTCGCTGTAAGTTTTTACGCCTCCTCCTTTGTCTAAATTAGAAATTCGGTATAATCACAACAATAACGTATTACGATGGAAAATAAAGTACATATAATATAAATTATATCTTCAACAATTTTAATGTATAAAGGTATCAAGGTACAAATAAATAAATATAAAAACAATCTTAACTACAGCAGACATAAAAATAATGCTCATCTCTTAAATTTAATCCGACATTTTTCGCTACCGTCACTCGAAACAAGTACTTTATCACATTTTTCACAGTATATTACACTTTTCACAGTTTACCACGTTATTTCTAACGACAGTCATGACATTTATCGTCAGGGGATTATATTTTTGTTAGTACTTAGGTAATAATATTTTCAGTGTTTTATTATTTTTTAAATAAAGTGCGGATATTTTATTTTAGGTAGAATTCTTTTGTCTTTGAATAACTGAAGCTTTAAAGTAAGCAATTTTACAAAAATCGTAACGGTTTTCTGGTACTTAATAAACACTATTTTTTACGCTTTATCTAGCATCACTCGTCATCATCCGCCTTTATTTATATCATTGGTAAGCTTCTCGATTATAACTTGTTGTCAATTCACCTTGATGCACACTTAAATCTTGTATTTATAGTTTCCCTAGCTTACTTTCTAATTTCACTAAAAACTTTTTGATCTCTTCCATTTCCAAGGTTATCTGATCCACTTTCATATTCAACGCCTCAACTGGGGAACGCGACTGTGCCGTCAATGTTTCCATCTGCGTCTTTACACCATTAATTTCATCATCCAAACCGTTCAGACGCTTCATCACTTCTTCATGCCTTTGCCTATTTCTAATGGGTCTGTCTTCTATGCTTTTCTGAAGTTCTACTTCATTTTTATCAGTTTCTTTTTTTTTAACTACAGCCTCATATATTTCGTTCAATAAATCTTTAAATGCCTTTACATTCATCTCGTCTTCTAATTGCTTCTTCTGACTTTGTGCTTTACTAAATAATGCATCTCTTATTCTTGATGGTAGAATCTTGTAGTATCTCCATCTTGGTCTACCTGGTCTTAGAATAACAATATCACTGACATTACGTTTCTGTTTAATTTTATTATTAACTCTTTTTGGTAATATCTTACTGAACACTTTATTGTAAACTAGAGTGTCTAAAGTACTCAAGAATTCTACTTGTTTATCTAATCTTCTAATATTGCCTAGAATTTCTAGGTCGTTAATATCATTGACTGCGACACCCACCATTAAGTTCATGAGCACGATAGCAGCTAGAATCAGAAAGGCAACGAATATAAGACGCACAATTTGGAATGAGAATGCCAGTTGTTTAGAATGTGCTTCGTCGAATAAAGCTCCATATTCGAACTCTGATGTCATCATGACAACAGTCTTCACGAAAGCTGCCCAGGGACCTTCGAAAGGCGTTTTGGAACGAAACTGTATCATAAAGCTAAACGAGAACCCGATTACGAGGAAGGCGAATGTTAGAAGAATCTGTAAGCAAAATACATATTAAGTATTCTCGAGATTACTATGTCAAAATGTTTTTTCGTAAATTTTATATCAGTGCGACCATCATAGCTTCATGACAGTTTAGACATGATAACTATACCTTTCCCAGATTTTTTGTTTACCTTAATAACATTAGATGCGACTTTCCCAAACATTAGCACATAGTAACCCCAGTTTGGGAATCTGGATAAGAGAAACATCATTTCCATCCATGCCAGGAGTAGAGCTATCGTCGCCACGTGTCTAGGCCACTCTGCATCCACGAAAGCTGGCACCATCACCGATGGGGGCAAAATTATAGCAAGTCCTATCGACCCAAACTTCACCCAAGTTTCGAGTTGCAAAAAGTATCTACTGCTTTTCACGTTCATGTACAGTAGTTCCTGTAATATTAATATATATTTATTAACATTCACGAGGTTATATGAAATTATGAGAATTATACTAACTATATATTCATAAAGCTTTAATTGAAATAGCTTAACGGTGAATTAGATGGATTAAGTCAAATTGTGGAAAATTTCTTTGGTTACTTTATTTATTTAAAAAGATATATTGTTGTTTGTACTTAAGATCATTGTATAACTTAGAATAAGGGGTCTTTATCTTCTATATAAATAAAAATGAATTGCTAAGCGCAAAACTTGAGAATGGGTGAATCGATTTGGCTGATTTCAATTTTGTTGTTATCGATGAAGTCTGAATAAAGTACTTATGGAGAGAAAAAAAATAAAAATACAAAGAAAATGGAAAATTAACAATTTTATTTTCCCATACAAACCACTCCTAGCTGTCAAACATAATGACGTCAATCAAATCAAACCAAAGACGCGTGGATTATCTTTGGTTACTTTGTTTTAGAGAAATGGGGCAGAACAAGGTCTGCCGGGTCATTTAGTTTTGTATAAATTTGTTTTATTTTATAATCTGATTATGAGCTTTGGTAAAAATTTGATTTAGAAGATATTTTTGTTCCTTTAATAGTAGATTTCTGACTCTACTTGTACAAATAACTTGAGCAAGTTCAAACAATGATTAGTGAAAGGTGAAGGTAAACTTGTTCATAGAATCTTACGGCTTGTTATCTGAGAAAAGCTAGTTTGTATTGAAAACGAAGTTTCCCATTAAACAAATAGAACAGTCAACAATAAATTTCTAGAAGTTTTGTTCAATTTGTAATAGTAAGCATTTCCAGAATATTATTTGTAACATTTCGTATTGATAACTAAGACAAAAACTACATCGATCAAAAGTTTCTTTCAAACTTTGAGTTAGCAGTCAGTAATGAAACTGTAGCTATGTCACTGATCAAATATTCACAAAAGCCAATAGACGGGATACAATAACTACCTATACTGTTTTAGCCAAACTTTTATTCTGAAAACATAATGGCGATAATTTGAAGGTGATAATTTCGTTTAGAGTATTGTTTTTTTAAGAATATGATTTAAAATCAGACAAATTGAAAAACCGATTACGTTTTGCTAATAAACTATCAGCTCTCCAATGTGTTCTTTGTCAAGGGTCACAAAAAGTACGTAAATAATGTAATTTAAACGAAAAACGGGAATAACCAATTGTTCAAAATAACCAAAGATTCAGTTAATTAGTTTATGAATGTATTATAGTCTAGAACATACCTGAAGCAGAACTAAGCAAACTGTAGCATAAACAATGTATCCCCAGACACCAGAATCAAGCCAATTAGGTTTTTCCTCAACAGTATCTCTGTAGAAGAAAACTGAAACCGCGAAGATTGTTAAGGAAATTAAGAATAACCCATAAAATGCTATAATTGTGTAGAAAAATGGTAATAACGCTTTCCATTTCAAGTACAGAAAACTCTCCATCAGTGGATGCACCAGTAATCTTTTTTGTCCATATCTATTTCCAGTTTTTAACAATGCCTCAATCACTTTCATCTGTTCCATCTCACATTCATTAGGCATAAGTATTCTGTAATCAATAATGACTTCACAGTTTGCATCTTGGAGATTGTGGTCATTTGTCGATATGTAAGAATCTAGAAGTTCTTCCATAAATTCCGTAGGTTTTGACAAATTATTGACAATCATGTCGATTGCCGTTCTTCTATATTTCTTAGGACCATCAGTGTACCCTGCTAAATTTGCTCCTTCTCCTAGAAGAAGGACAATAACTTCTCTACTTCCATGATGACATGCGGAATGTAAGGGAAACCATCCCATGCCATTGACTTCATGTATTATCGTCTTATCAAAGCTAAGTAGTACTTTTGCTATTTCATGGTGATTTTTTACTGCAGCTATGTGCAATGGAGTTGATAATTTATGCGGACTACTTGTGGTTCTAAGTCTTATATCTGCATTTTTAGAAATCAATAACTCTACACATTCTTGATGATTCTCTGATACTGCATAATGTATTGGACCAAATCCTTTTTTCTTTGCATCTGTTAAACTGTTAAGCATTGTTTGTGTTACTTTTTCATCATAGTCAAGTAAAAATTCAAGAATAGCTTTATTGCCTCGTTCTGCAGCCACATGAAAAACGTTAATATCCCCTTTCAGAGTTATTTTTAGAGAGGCTCCTTCTTCTAGTATTAGTTTGACGCATTCAACATGTCCATATTTGACGGCCTTAAACAGAGCAGTTTCTCCTTCTTCGTTTTGATAATCTATTGAATCTTTTTGTTTGGCAACACTTAGTATTTCGTTGAGGACATCTAAATTTCCGAGTGCTGCAGCTGAGTGTATAGGAGTTTCGCCATCGTTTGCCTGAAATATAACAGATAATTAATATATTTTTTGGAGGTCAAATAGTGTATAGTCAACTCTTAGTGATTTCAATGTCAAAAATTGTTGGCATGAGTTTTTGGATAGTAAATAATTCCGAATAAAATATACAAGCTATTTAATTGCTGTTCGATAGCTTTCTTCTCTTTTTTATTAGATGTTTAAGAACAGTACCTTTAGAGTGACGTCAGCTCCAGCTTCCAATGCTACACATACTCCTCTCACCCATGCGGCCTCAACAGCAGCCTGCAGTACTGTGTGACCTTCACCGTCTTTCACATCCACTACTGCTGACAGAGGGTCCCTGTCATTACGCCCTTCGTTTGCAAGAATCTGTAGTGAATGTAGTGATAGTTCATTTGGTAAAAAAAAATATACTAAATGAATTTTTCGGGCACTTTTTCATAAAATTGCCTTAGAATAAATTTGAAAAGAGTTTATTAATATTGCAGACTGCAAATTATGGTAATAAAATGTAATATATTTCAATAATGTTATTCTATTTGTTTTACATAAATGTTTGTATATTCTATCATAAGCCATGTGTTGTCAAATATTTACCTTTAATGGCTCTTCAAGTTCCTTCTTCACACAGACATGTAGAGGTGTTTGTCCAACTGTGTTCAGACAGGCTATGGAAGCGCCAAGTTGCAGCAGCTCCTTTATAGCATTTACATTCTCTAGCTCCGCTGCTGTATGAAGAGGTGTTGTGAGATTGTCCAGGCGAGAGGGCTTCATAGTATTGTTTTCTCCACCAGCTTTCATGATGAGACGGAGGACTTCAGTGAAACTGAAAAATGACAAAAAATAAGGAGTGAAGTGTATTTTTTATTACAAACTATGAAATAGTATAACAACTATACACTTCGAAAAACTATAACTAAAAAACTTCGATTGAGGTTCAGTTAAGATACAGTCACATTTGATAAATATTTGAGTAGAGATTCATATCTATGCCAAATTAACATTATTCCTAACATTCATGAGAGCACACCGATCAACTTAATAACTTGTGAAAAATTGGCCATCCGCATTATTATAACTGTTATATGTAAGTACGTAGTGGATAAGCGCCGCAGCACGCGATCGTTGTCGTTAAGCAACTTTCGCGGAATGGGTGACCAAAAAATTATTATCTCGAGCTACTCCGTGCTTTGGAAGGCACGTTAAGCTGTTGCTCCCGGTTGCATTTGTAGTCGTAAATACCCGCCAATCCGCATTGGGCAAGCGTGCAGGGGCTCAGGTCTTCCTTACCCATCCATAAGGAAGGCCTGAGCCCCTGCAGTGGGGACGAAATAAAGGCTGATGATGTTGATATGTCAGCACATCTCAAAGGCATGACTTTCGTCTTAGAGCTATTCTAATTCTTAGTAGTTTTGTGTACAAGTAAGTAGTACACATTATTTATAAAATATTTGTTGCATACTCATTAATAACGAATAGATGTTTGGTGGAGTTATTGTTGACGCTTATATGTTATTTTTGTTTCGTGAGTATTCAAGAATATAAATGACACATGCCGCATGAACTTAAGAAAACCTTTAACAAAATTAGGCAGGCTTACTTATCAGAATCAATTTTGATGTCTATGTAGTAACCGGAGCCAGCGACATCGAGGGCGGTACGTCCCATCTCATCACAGATGTTAGGATCAGCTCCAGCGGCGAGGAGTAATTGAGTACAGTTTTTACGAGCACATGCCGAAGCCACGTGGATGGGTGTCCAGCCAGGTTGCAGTAAAGGTAACTAGATAAGATAGAGTTACCAGTCAAGGTGGTTGAGCATAATCTTAGAGCTATATTTCATTTACCATGCATGAACTTAGCCATGAGCATAGTGACCCAATTCTAACATGAATATTTTGTTCTTAATATAGCATGTGCTGTGTTCTTAATATAGCATCGAATTCAACTTTAATCCTTTGATTATGATTGTTAAGTTCAAATAGGTTGCAGAAATTTAGCAAATAGTAGGTAATTAGTTGTATTATGCATATGATATTAAAAGGTAATAGAAGATATCAGAAGTAGTAGATTATATTTTTGTGGCTAAAAGACTTACACTCCCTTCAATATTCTTGCAATTATGATCGATATTATCTTTCCAGGTGCTAGGTATTAGTGTTTTGACATCGCCAACGTCACAACGCACGTTAGCCATGGCTTTGGTCTTCTCATGAAGCTTCTTCAAATCTTCTTCAGCATGTGAACATATACTGTCATTGTCTACCCGATCACGCATTTCTGGTAACGAGAGACAATGATGAAGGAAAAGGAATAAAGCCAGGTTGCAAAACTAGAATTTCTCACATACGTAATCTGCTCAGATTTCAAACTTTAACATAATAACAAAAATACTACAACACCCTTGATAATATAAAAAAAATAGAGAAAAAAAATTATGTCAGCTTGGAATCGGCCTCTGAATCACAGAGGTCGTAAATATGTTGTTTTTTTTATTGTTATTAACCACTACCTGTTTATATCTATAAATAATATAAAACAAAGTCGTTTCCCGCTGTCTATTCGATTTTAAACTACACAATGGATTGTAATGCGGTTGTCATTAATATACAAGAGGAAGGTTTATATATATTATACAGGATCACATCGGCGAAGTAGCTGGTGGAAAGTTAGTAAACAAATTAAGCTTTCCTCACACTATTCTAAAAGTATAATAAACCCTCTTGTGGTACTTCCACAAGAGGGTTAATTATCATCCTCCCTGAACAATACACAAGGAGACGGTGCTATAATTCTCAAAACGAATGGGCACTACAGCTACAAACTAAAGTCATCTACTAAGAAGAATTTAAACTTCTTGGACTTGGAAAAGATTCTTCTTCTTCTTTTTAATGGAAAAGATTATAGTGGTGACATTCTATTTATGTCAAAATAAACGGAAAAAAGTTTTGAGGAAATTTCTTACTTACTCGTAACAACAACAAATTGAAAGAAGAACACGCTTGGAACACGCGATCCTTACAGAATAGAAGAATAAGTTTTCGGAGTTATATTTATTATATCCTTTTGATCGAACATTTAACAAAATAACTTATTGTTTGAGATAAGCAGAACTTTAAGAATGGAGATTGCTCAAAATTTTATGGTATGTCAATAAATGATTTGTTATCTATTTCCTCTTATATTTTTTTGCAAAAATTGCGTATTCGCCTGGATAACGGGACAGTGGTGATTTATGCAGTAAAAAGTTTGCCTCACTATTCTTATCAACTATTACCATATAAACAATTATATCGAAATGGCACATTTACATATGTTGGAAGTGTGAAATGTTTGGGCAGTTCAAGGAAATCGTATCACCGGTCGTAAAGCCTCTAACTAAGCACCGGTTATCATTACCACCGTTGATGAAAATTAAGAAGGGTATATTAAACATACATATATATACTCGGTTAGAAGTTTGGTAGAAGCTTGGTTTTAATGTGTTCGTATTATCAGACTCGACACGCAGTTAAAAAAATACTAAGCCACAAGTGCTGGGTGCTTCGACTGCAAACCATACTATATCAATTCGATTTTTTTTTTATTAAGATCAAAATTTTTTTATTAAACCAGGTTTTCGCGGGTTTTCATCATTGTAACTTTAAATTCATTTCTAAAAATGTAATTTCGTCTTTATAAATTTAGTCCCCTTTCACACTCTTACCTCGGTTACCTGTTCATAGTTTATACTCATTAACATTTTTTCATCGAATCTCTTTTTTCATTCACACGTCTTTTCACCTTCTTTACATAAAGAGTATACGAAACACTTTTTCTAAAGCGGTACCTAGACGATCATGTGGCATGACATGCATGCATGACCGTGTAATCGTATTTATTGATGTGAATGATATGCAAACTACAGTTGGCAGTTAAATAACAACTACTTTTTTTTTATTTCATGTAAGCTATGACTGACATGCACACATGATCGTTTTAAGTAGATCTGCGTAGACATTTCATGTCGTATTGCCAAATTATTTTTTTAATATCATCTCATTAAATACAGAAGTGACTGAGAACAAAAGTAAGATGTTGTGCATTATGGTCCATCGTGCAGCATAGTAGTCCATGATGCAGCATGATCATTTACGGAAACGCATGTCATGCCACATGATCGTCTAGGGACCGCATTACATATATCTCATCAAAGATTTTTGAATTTTGAATTTATTACTATAGGGACCCATTGCCAAGAATTGCATGACACGGATCAACGAAAATGGGAACGTTGTCGGCACCATCATAGTCAATTGTGAAGGTTTGTTTGAAAATACTGTTTCTGATCTCAAGCCAAAGTTTTGGATCATTCTCATATCTGTAGTGATTTATTCATATTCGATATTCTTTTACCATTTTTTTTATCATATGGAATAATTGATAATAATTAGAAAATTGAAAATGCTGATTAACACGTTTCGGTTGCATCTTCAGCTGAATAAGTAAAAGAATTGGATACAACAAAAGCTGACATAAACCAAAATAAGCAAACCGTTGGATTTTTTTGCCGTGAACAAAGAAATGTCTAATCGCTTTTACCAGCTTGTGAACTATTTAGATTAAATCCAAACTCATCTCAGTTTGTATTAATTTAACGTATCCCATCCAAATTATTATAGACAGATATTTGATCATTTCCAGGTTTCCCGGAAACTACAACTTTGGACAGTTTAACAGCCGCCACTTATTCTACCCATATGAGGAATCTCTCCCATTATGCTTCGAATGCCCTCAAGGAAATTGTGAGTTGGGTTTCCTAATGTGCTCAGTTTTATAGATCTTTATTTTTATGTTTTGCACTGGAGAATTATTCTAGACAAATATTTTACATCTTTAAAGACTCCATTTCGGGCACATAGGACTAATCATTTTTAAAGCATTTTTCTTTAAGATGTTTCTTGATGATGACCAATATATGGTTGCGGAGGGAAATATAATATTAATCTAAGAGAACGTTTAAAAAATATGCAAGAGCTTTCTAAAGGGGTATCTATTACCAAGGGTATTAGTAACTCAATACCCAGTGCTGTTTAGTTAGGGTTAGTTATTTCTTGAATGCAATTTTTAATAGATTTGATTTCTCTGTAGGATGTGATCGATGAGCTACTGGTTCTCAGGTTGGTCTCCAAGAAAACTGAAGCAGTTGTGGCACCTGATGAAGAGTTCCATCTTATTGTAGTGATGAGGCGAACATGAACGAATGTTATGATTTTGTACATTAAAGTACACTAGTTGTGTTGAGATGTCTGTGAAGACATTTGATTTAATATTGTTTTTTATATTTGTTAAATTTGAAATAAAGTTCCTTTTTCTATGACGTGATGCAATCTTGCGAGATGGTGCTACAATTATAGTTTTCGTGTTAACATTGGTGTCAATCAGCCGGTATTTCCATCATGATGACTAAAGAGCGGTAATGTCTCGTCTATATTGGTCAACGTGGGCCGGATACGGTTGCGGTGTGAAAATTCTACTGGTCTATTTAGTTGATAAAATAATAACCGACTTTAGAAAGCAGCCACTGAAATCCCCCGCATTGCATATTGGAATCCCGTCGACCACTGTAAATGAGTTATTCAGCACAGTATGATGAATTTTGAATAAACAGCATACACTTTTTTTTCTTAGGAATTAAAAACTTTGCTTGTAGAGAGCACTTGCTTTTAAAAATGCCAAAGGATTGTGCCATACTGCCACAGAGGGTGCTGAAGGTCTACTAGGTAGGTAGCTAGGTAGAAAGTCTACTAGCTAAGTAAGAAAACGACAAACCATAAGGAGTTCGACGGCGTAGTGTTGTAAAGCAACTTTTGTAGAGGCCGGCCATAGGATGAGTGACTAAAATATAATATTTCGGAAGGCTCGTTAAGACATTAGGTGTTAAAGCCGACAAATATACAGCTATTGTTAGGCTTTAACACCTAATAATTTTTAGAAGTTATTTTAGGAAGGGCACATATTACGACTTGTACACTTACCTTCTGGGATGTTTAGCAGAATGGCCATCTGTCTAGCATTTCCAGCGAATGCTGCAAGATGCAGTGGAGTCCTTCCTAGTCTGTCCAGTCGGTATTTCTCAGCTCCGAACTTCACCAGCAGTGATAGGGCATCGCCACCACAGAGTGCTGCTACGTGGCAAGCAGAGACCATGTCCTTGCGGCAGGTAGCATTAGGATTGGCACCTGCTTTAAGCAGCCTGAAACATATTATCATAATACAATAATATTAACAGGCAGTGAGAAATCTATTGAATCTTAACCATTTAATAGGTAATAGATGACCCGGTGTCTTGTGACCTCGTATCACCTCTTACCGTTTGAACCTTCCCTGGACAACGACAAACATTTCAAAATCTAGATCAGTTATAATTCTTGAATCTTAGCGAGAAAAAATGAAATAAAGCCTATTCCCTACTATAAAGTTTCGAGTTCCAAGAAAAAAATATTTAATATGCCAGGCTCGTTCTTTTGTGGAATGGTTATTTAATTACCTGCAAAATTAACTTAATACAAACAAACAATAATAAATAGAAACTTAGTCAGCCATAAAAAATCAAAAGTTTCTCAATTGGGAATTCACGAATGAAGACAGCTGGTTGCACTCATATGTGCACAAGTAAAGCACCTTGTTACGAAGAAAGAAGTTATGACCGGTATTCCGTTCCCGCGCCTCGTCTTACAATTCAAGGTCATTTTTTATTGAATTGTGTTATGTATCACTTATTCGTTTACGACCTTTGCAAGTCATATGTGGACAATCTTACCTTGGTTGTGCAAAAATTTAGATAATTTCATTTGCTATGTAAATTTTTACCGTATTCGTATATTCAATATCATTTAATTGGAGACAAGAATTTCTTCCATTTATTTTGATGACTAAGGATGCCGATCTAATGGTATACCTCTCAACTTCTTCGACGTCATTCCCCTCGATGGCAGTGAGCAGCTCAGTATTGAGTCTTCTCAGTCTCCTGTCACTTCTTCTCCACTTTTTTGGTAGAGGGTCGGTTCCTTCCACGACAGGAGTGTTGTTGACAGTTGACGCGTTTGATGAAGGTGATGACGCCATGTCAAGGTTGGATAGGTGCAGGAATCGGGGATGGTTGCTGATAAAGTGATAAAGAAATGATTTACACGTTTTTGTACTCAATTTCACAATAGAGTGACGTCAGTGCTTACTTAGTCTTCTATAATAAACCCGAATCTTAAGCTATAGTGTTCCTCCATATTTTTATGATGTCAGTTTAGATGATGTGAATATATAAGTATAAAATATAATTGTACCTATTTGAATTTGTCGAAAATATATCCAGCTAAATCGCAATTGATTTAAATAAGGAGTTTGAATTAAAATATCGAAAGTTATTGAATCAAATCATAGAAAGTTAGCGGTTCTGAGAAATTTAATTGCTGAGGTACACCCGAGGCTTTTTTACGAAAAGACTACAGAGAGACCCCTAACTCTAACACCACTCAGGTCCAGTGCGGATTGGTGGTAAATGCTTGCAAATGCAGCTAATAAAAACAGGTTTACTTGCTTTTTGATTTGTACAGAAGCACACGATCAATAGCAAGTCCGGCCTTTTCGAATCACTACTCTTTTGAGCTTTTATACTAATAGGTATAAATTTAATAAATATTGTTTACCGCAATTCTGAGAGACTGACGTTACTTGATATAGTGGGTAACACTGGACGGCCATCTTGATTCAACAATGGCTCCAAATGATCTTCTTCCTCTGGAATGCCTTGTTCTACATCTGAAAAACCAAATACTCTTTTGGTTTATTTATAACCAACTAGATGACCCGGTGCACTTCATACCACTTCTCACTATTCAAATCTTTCCTAGACTACGCTAAACATTTCAAAACTTAAATCAGCTAAATCGATTCAGGCGTTCTCGAGTTTTAGCTAGACAAAAGAACAGCAATTGTTTTATATATATAGCTTACAGAGCAAAAGATATGTTTCGGACGTTTGTGTTATGAAATTTAAAGACTGTCAGCTACGATGCCTGTGGGTTGAGGATCAACAGATTTAGTTAGCCGGGCCTTAAACAAGTAAAAGAAATAAAGACATTTAAAATACGTCCAAACAATTACAGACCCAGTATTTTGAAAAATAAAAAGACATCTTTTACATTGGTAAATTATATGTTCATTTGGTTTTCATAAAATGAAAAATATTTCTTTACATTTCTTTATATAGAATGTGAAGATATTAGTTGTTGCATAATAAAACAAGTTTTTAGTAATTTAAGAAAATAGATGATAATGTACAATTCCCAAGGTTTGTTCCTGCAGCTGCAGCTAATATTCTCTAGGTTTCCTGGTACAAATATCTTAAGTATTTTAATAAATTATTGCGTAATTGCCTCAAAGAAGGAAAATAAGTAATTGAAGAAATTTTTTCCTCAGCGCCTGGCTCACGAACTAATAAGGAAAACTACAGTTTTAATCATAGTTTTAACGTCATTCATAAAATAATTAGGTTTTTTCCCGTAGTAATGCGATTATGCTTTTGTTTGAATAAGTCAATTTTAAGTAAGATTTTGAACCGACTACAAAATAAAAATAAAAAGGAGGATATATGTTCGATTGTATATTTGAAACGTGTTTACTGATTTCTGAGTTGATTTTAAAATTACATTTATTAAAAAAGGGTTTGCTTAATCTGGTGAAACATGAGGTAATCTCATCTCTATCTCTCATGTATCTAAATAAAGAAAAATAATAAATGGTAGAAATATGTAACGTTGTCTGGTAGAAATATGGAAATATACGTGATTTTTTCTACAAAATCACTTCTTTTTCCATATGACTGTTTATGTTAACATAAAATGTTTACCTAAGTAAAAAGTAAATTATAGGTGCCACTGAAAACTAAATCAACTTCAAAAAATTAAAACGATTCTTTATACTTCTTCTTTCTCGCTCGATTTTAATAAAAATTTCTTGAATCAGATTACAATTTTAACAAGCTTTATTATATTTAATATAATGAAAATTGCTTAAAAATGTCTTATTTATTAAAGTTTTTTATAATATTGCATACAGACCTGTATTGGAAAAGCGGTGTTTTGATTTTCCTAAACAAACACACTTATTGCAAATCACATTTTCGTCATCTTCTTTTTTAAAGAAACTAAATAATGTCTTAGCATACATTTATTTAAGTGCGGTATATACACGTGAATATTCTCTAAATGAATTATGTAGTCACACATAATTAAAAATATCTAACCAAAACGAGTCTTCAATTAAAAAATATATAGTATATTTACGTTAATATACTCACATTCGTTTATAGTTTATAGGACTATTACTATTAAATGTTTTATTTTTTATTTGTAATGGTTAAGCTCAAAAACCACTAGACAAGCTCATCAATACAAAGCTCACTTAAAATTACACTATAAGTGAATACCAAAGACTAAATATATTTAATTTTAAAAAGTTTACACATTTAGATTTTGAAAGTTTATTTCATTTAGTAGATTTAAATTACACTATCACTTTAAGAAAGTAAGATTGTAAAAACCAATGGGTATTCGAAAGTACTCTTTTAAAACACTTAAAAACAGAAATCACTTTTTACACTTTATTATGTTTTTGCAACAGTGGAATATTTTTATAGGGAGTGTTACATTTCTTTTGCACCAGTAATATATTGGTGGATTTTAATGGCTATGTTTCCTTATGAGTGAACTTGCGTGACTGGTCGAGTCAATCCGCTAAAAGGTTATCACAAATGTAAACACTCGCCAAGGTTAAGTTAGTCATTATAATTTTAGTTGACTCGTTTGTCATTAGGAAGTCATCTTTGGCAATTCGTTCTCGTGGGCAAAAGTAGGGTTGTCACTACTTTTCACAAAATATTAAAAAAATATTATTTTTGGAAATCTCATAATGCAATAATAATGTGAAGGAAACGTAAGAAGAAGAAGACCAAAGAAAAGATGGATAGATTGTGAAAAATAATATGTGTAAGGAAGGAGTGAAGTTGACGACGACTGATTGAGATGTATGGAAGAAGAATAAGTATTGCGTCGACTCCAAATAAATATTCGGGAGAAGGCTAAGTATTTTTTTTATAAATATACAAGGCTGTATATGAAAATATATTCATTCAAGTAGGCTTAATACAAGCACTTTTGAATCTACCAAAAAATTTTTTTTCCCCTACCTCTTGTTCAGGACATCTTTTAGCTGACAAGAAGAACAACCGAAAGAATCTTACCAGCTCTTTATCATAAGTAATGACATTTACAAAATCATGTCATTACCAAAATAATATGTATTATCACATTAATAAATACAACTTTCAAAGTCTGTAGGTCATAGGTTGAACATATAATTAGTCGTTATAGAACAAAGCGAAGGCTATTAATTCCATGCATTGCGATCCTTAAAATAATCATTAGCTTTATAATAGACTTTACTCATAAGTATGTTCTTTACATGAATTTTAAATGTAATTATGGGTAGGTCAATTACATTTTTGGACCTTTATTGAACATAGCAATGCAGTTACCCAGAAAAGATCCTCTGGTTATCTGAAGTCTGAAGCTTGGAACGGCAAGTTTATTTTTATTTCTTATGTAACAAAAAAAGCAAAATAAATATATAAAATAAATATCTTATGTCAGTCATTTATTTTTACTTTCATAAAAGCCGTTTACCCCTTACAAACAAAGTTAGAAATTTTTACTTTTTAAAAATGTTAGGTAGACAATAATATATTTGAATGGGGTTAAATTTCAAAGAAAGTTTTTTTTTCGAGAAAATTGTATATTTTATAGATAAATCAGTTTTAATTATAGTTTATTTGTACATTATTTTATTATACATATATTGAATTTGCTCAAACATTTTTAGTGTGATTATGAAGTGATCATTATTATGCCGACTTATACAGGAAAAAATAGTAATCAGTGCACACACTTTCATATTGATTTCGTTATGGTAAATTTCACATTTTGTTCTCTTTTTTTAGGGTTCCGTAGTAAACAAGGACAGTTTATAGTTTCGCCATGTCTGTCTATCCGTCTGTCCGCGGTTTAGCTCAAAAACTATTTGTACTAACAAGTTGTAATTAGGCATGAGTATATACGTTAATTACACCACATTGTAATAAACGTTACAATTTGGCGTAATTTATTAGTAATTATTAACATTTGGTAAAGTAAAATTTCGAAAAAAGTTTTTAAACACACCTCCCCACCTGTAAAGTGGGGCTGATACTTTTTTCGATTTTTTCATAGTGTAGCCACATCATTGGTAATCGACAAATTGTATCTAATGTGAAAATTTCGAGCAACTCTAGAGAAAACAATAAACGTGATTTTTTTTTACTTTTTTTAATGGAGAATGGTACGGGACCCTTCGTGCGCGAGTCCGACTCGCTAACATAGAATTTTTTTATGTACTGTATATATTTCTTATCGTTATGGGTACCTAGTTTGTGTACTAATACTAAAAGAAACATGAAAATGTTAATAAATATTAAAATTAAACTATCAACTTATTTTTTTTTCTTTATAAATAAATATAGCGTACGAAATAAATTTTAACTGATATATTTTTCCTATTTAGTAGTACAATGAACAGCTATGTTAATCTGTTAGAATAGCCTCAAAAATGCCGTAGAACGCATTGCTGTCACGTCATAGAATTTCAATTTGAAATGGCTTTTATTTGCATGAACCACGCAATGCTAAAATTCGAAACTTTTTTATAACAAAACTCGAAACAGCTCAATTATAGTCTATATCATCCACGTATGATGTAGCTTCCCGTAGATAAAAGAAAATTCATATTCGAATCAATATTTCCGAAATACAAATAAACAGAAAAATACAAATACCTCCTACAAACAAACAGAGTTAGAAACTTTACCTCTTTGTAATATGGATAGGCACTGATGTTGACAACCCTGATGTTAAGTGAAGCGTGAATGATATTCACCGGTGTTATCTAATTATTACAGAATTGATTTGTTTATTGAGATATTTAGTAATATTATGTAACCAGCAATGTAAAATATCTTAACAATAATAATTACCTAGTCTAGCCATAAATTCTGTTACTGGCTGTTTACATACACTAAAAAAAAACATTAATTTGAATTTCGAACATTAGCTTCTACGATAAAAAATATACATCTTTCCCGCCATTAATATATGTTTTTGTTTAGAAACTATTTGTTTTCAAAATGGTGTGGGGCACTAAATAGAATATGATTGCAGTATTTGCAAAGTAGGTAAGGAGAAAAGAAATGATAATCCCACCGAGGACAGTTTCTGGGATTATCAAACAAGACTTAGGTCTAGGGGCTTACCGGAGTATTACACAGGACATACCTTAAATTAGGTACTAAAAAAAAAGAGAGTCGAAAGATCAAAACAGCTGTTACTTCTATACGCGGATGAAAAACACAGAATAATTCTCTTTACCGATAAAAAAACACTAAGCACTACAACAAAGAAAATGATCGAGTGTATGCATACAGCTAAAGAAGTTTCCGTGGTAGTGGCCAAATTTCAGCGAGGTCATCCAGCATACGTCATGGCTTGGTGGGGTTATAAAACTCCATTTTTGCGAAAAGGAGTGAAAACTTCAACCAAAGTGTATCAAGGTGCGGTGTTAGAAGCGGTAGTTAAACCTCTCAACAACACCTTATCAAAAAGGAAGTGTGGACATTCCAACAGGATTCAGCCCCGGGTCATAAGGCGCGCACTACCCAAATTTGGCTTGAGCAAAATATTTTCTTTATAACAGAACTTATCGCTAGACTAGTTATTATTTTTAAGAAATTTTATATCACTGCTTGTTTATTATGATTTTACATATTATAATATTTTTTTTCCCTAAGTGGAGGAAAGCTTTTTTTTTGAGAGTTACAGTTACAGGGTTGGCTCATAAATCGTGATAGCTGGACTGTTGAAATTTTCACAGATTATATATTTCTATTAACGCATAAATATAGGATATATTTAATATTTAAGAAAACAACTCCATCGAATAAGGGCTCGTTAGTGTTGTATTGACAAAGTCTACGGATCGAGATAATATAGAAACTGTAGATGGAATTGGAAGATGGCTATGAGAACTTTGTAGTTAAATAATGCAACCCTGTCAAGATTAGGAACATTTTATATGTTTTATAAGATCTTTGAAAAGAGATAATATCCACCTAAACTTGCTTTTTAAAAATATCAATATTATTTTATTAAAATTATAATAAAGAGTTAAATAAGCGAAGTATAAGTGTATTGGTAACACAAGAGTGCCTACTTTTACGGTAGGTATTCTTGAGGACATTTGGGGAATAACTTTGTACTAAATTATAAAGTTTATTGACCATAAAATTCGAGGGTTTTCCACTACCCAATATGATGGCTGAGCGAGCAAGGGATTCTTACTGCGATACGTTACAACAAAATATTTAAAAAAACCTCGTTGAAAGTATTATAGACCTGTAATTGTATTGGTAGTTTTTTCTTAGCGACTCTTCTTAGTGACTCTTTTTCAAGTTTCAAGTCGTAACCACATTACGGTCTTAAGTGCAATTCCCGGTTGGATCAATATAAAAACCGAACTTTTCTAAATTGTATTGAGTTTATTAACACTTGTTTGTATTTTCTTAATATTGTGTAACATTTATTATGTATAAAAATAATTTGATGATGCAGGTTGATGCTATTTGGTGAAGCAGCAGGAACAAGAAATTTTAGAAGTTTAAGAGTACGCGTCCGAAAATCACTAACTTTCAACTGCTTTTATACAAATAAATAACATCCAAAGCTATAATTAAAAATAAGTAAACTACATCAAACTTCCTAGGTTTCTGGATCTTGATTTAATCAATTACCGAATGCATACATAAGACATGCGCAAAATGTCCATATAACATTTTGTTATTTAAGGCAAGCGTTTCATTTTTATGTTCAAAAATATTTGCTTCAGAAACCACTTACCAATGTTAAGCGCCATTAGTGTTTTTTTTTCACTTAGACACACTCATCACTATTCTGTATAAATAATTTTAACTAACACATGTTGTGGTTGGGTATTAACGTTTGGAAATGAACTAATATATTTGTCATTTTACTTCTTCACCAATATTCTTGACGCACGTATAGAGCTATTACGATGTTTAGAATAGGCACCCAAAATGCACTCACAACACTCTTAGTTGAGATTACTCAAAACGAGGTTTTATTTTAGTTTTTATGTAATAAAAAAGACAATCTTTAGCAATGTTTTAGTTAACAAAATAACTTAGGAATAAGATTTTCACCAAAAATTGCGACTTCTATATTTTATGATGATTAGCACCGATTTCAAAGTAAAATCTGATTAATGGTGAGTTAATATTTATTTCGCTTGCTTTGCATTGATTTAGCGCTGAAATTACTGAATGTTAAAAGACTTTTCACCTACGGAAAGTTTGCATCACACGCGGGTGACATCGACATAAATTACACGAGCGAAATCGCTGGAACATAGGTATTATTACCCTCTCGTATATCAAGCAAGCAGCGAGGAGTAAATAGAGTTGCTGCTAAAACTTAGAGATCTCTGTTCCGTTTTATTTTTAACAGAATCAGTGTCATTAAAATATTTTATGATACGCAAGTATCATAAAAGTAGTTGAAACTTACAAGGTTATTTATTTCGAAATTCTGATTCCGATCAGAAGTAAAATTATTG